GCATTCGTGGGATAAATTAAATTTGCGTATCTTAGCCAATGAACCTTGTTAAAACCTTTTTTTTTTGATAGCATAATGATTTCCTCACTAGCAGTGGGAAATTAATTAGCACAACAGTAATTAACATGTGGTTGTGTTCAGCTGTAATTATGTGGCCAGCCTTTTAGTGCCTCTGTAATATCAGAAGGGCTTATAATGACATACTCAATGGCCTGATGGCATATATATGTTGTAGCCAGTGATCCTTGTTAAGACTCGATTTTTGACAATTCAATGAACCTCTCGGCAAAATTTGTATTTTAAAGAGGTTAATAACCTCTCCCCTGCTGTGTGGCTGTGCATTAAAAACAAAACTATGCTCCCACACATACTTTCAAGAATCAACCTTTTACACATACACTGCAATTGTAGTTACGGCTAATTATCAACCACTTTACATCATTACAGGTGTCAAAAGTCTTTCACTGCTATACCCCCACTCCCATTTCTTTCTGCCATTTATTCTTCATTACTTCCTCTCCCATTGGACTCCCCCATCCCACTGGTTTTTCCCTTTTCACACTGCACGTTCTATCCTGTATCAAATTATGGCCCTTAGTTTATATTTTTTGGATATGTTTTTTTTCTAACAATTTAATATCTGTGTTTTTTTTTCCACCAAATATTAAAATATGGAAAAAATATCAATATATCAAAAATATTTGATTATAATATTTTTGAAAATATTAAATCATATCAAAAGCGTATCCAAAAATATTTGAGGCCTTCAGTTGTAATCAAAATGATTAAGCCCCCCCATTAAAAACATTTATAGACTTTCAGCTATTTGCAATGAACAAATCAAACGAAAGCAATTGAAATAGCTCAACGCAACAAATGCTTCAAGTGGTTTCCCCAAATTCAACTGAAAATGCATCTTTTAATGACTTCTCCAATCTCAAAATTCTTCAACCCCCTGAATAGAATCCCTCACAATTATGCAATAAAGGTGTTATCTCAAGCAAGGGCTTTATTAGCTGTACCAGGTGTTCTTGAGCTGGAACACTTGAAATACCTGAACTGGCTAAGGGTTTGTTGAGATCAACATTTGACTGCATGTTAGAAATATGGTAAGTCAAACGAATGGTCCACAAAGTTAAGAGAAGAGATCATTGCCTTTCACAAACTAGAAACAAAAAGATAGCGAATGTTCCTAGAGACATCGTTGGAAGCATAGTTCACAAGTTCAATGTTGATTGAATAGTGGTTACACTACCTGGACGGGCAAAAAAAGAAAGTTATCAAAAGCTGCAACCAGATTTCTGAGAAGGCAGATTGTGAAAAGAATCTTGAGTGACTGCAAAAGACCTGCAACAAGACTTGCTGGCAACAGGCACTAAGGATGCAGTGAGCACAGTAAGGTGCATACTAAACGCAGATTGTTTCCATGCCAGAACTCCTAGCTGTACACCATTAGTGACTCAAAAACACAAGAAAAGCTTTGGGATTCTGTTTTGTGGAGCGATGAAACAAAACTAGAACTTTTCGTCTCAATGGATCAGCGGTATGTCTGGAGGACGCAGAATGAAGCATATGCTTAAAAGAACACCCTGTTTACAGTTAAAGGACCACTCTAGGCACCCAGACCACTTCAGCTTAATGAAGTGGTCTGGGTGCCAGGTCCAGCTAGGGTTAACCCATTCTTTTATAAACATAGCAGTTTCAGAGAAACTGCTGTGTTTATGAATGGGTTAAGCTTCCCCAAAGTTTCTAGTGGCTGTCTATTGACAGTCGCTAGAGGCGCATGATTCTCACTGTGAAAATCACAGTGAGAGCACGCAAGCGTCCATAGGAAAGCATTGATAATGCTTTCCTATGCGACCGGCTGAATGCGTGCGCAGGTCGTGCCGCGCGCGCGCATTCAGCCGACGGGGAGGAGAGGAGGAGGATCGGAGGAGGAGAGCTCCCCGCCCAGCACTGGAAAAAGGTAAGTTTTTACCCCTTTCTCCCTTCCAGAGCCGGGCAGGAAAATGAGTATGTTTTCCTGGCACTATAGTGGTCCTTTAAGCATGGTGGTGGCTCAGTGATGCTTTGCATGCTCTGGCACTGGAATCCTGCAGCGTGTGGAAGGCAAGATGGATTCATTGAAGCATCAGAAAATCCTAGGAAAAAACATTATGATGACGGTCTGTGAGGAAGCTGAAGTTTGGACGCCATTGGACAAGACAATGATCCCACGCATATCTCAAATTCTACAAGGCTTGGTTGCAGAAGTCCTGGAAAATTCTACAGTGACCATCCAAGTCACCTGACTTGAACCCCATAGAAAATCTCTGGTGAGATTTGAAGAAGGCGGTTGCAGCACGCAAACCCAAGAATATTACTGAACTGGAGGCCATTACTAATGAGCAATGGGCTAAGATTCCTCAGGAATGTTCTTACTTTTTCTATTGTTCTCTCCCTTCTCTCTTACTGTTCATGTCATTCTGTGGCGGCTCTCTAATTAGGTGATTTAGGCGGCTGCCTAAAGCCTTGTGCTGATGGGGGCCTCGCGGCCGCCTAAATCGCTTTAGGGCTGTGTGATAGATCGGGTCCTCGGTCAGAGACCGAGGACCCGACACAGGGTGCCGCCGGGTGCAAGGCCCCTCCTATGCCTGCTCGGGAGAGAGCCAGCCTGTCTACAGCTCCGCCGAGTGCAGAGCTGCAGACTGAGAGGATCTCTCAATCTCACTCAATCAGAGTGTTGCTGCGGGTTACCACGGCAACGCTCTGACTGGCTGAGATCGCGAGACTAAACTTACCACGTGGTCTGCAGCTCTGCACCCGGCGGAGCTGCAGACCGTAAAGGGAGCCCACTGGACCACCAGGGCTACAGCCTTGCCGCCCACTGGACCACCAGGGAAAAAATTAATCCCCAGGTATTTATGCCCTTCCCTCCTACCACCCTCTGCCCCAGCCACCCCACCACCACTGCCCCAGCCAACCCACCACCAATGCCCTAGCTACTCCCACCTCACCACTGCCCCAGCCACCCCACCACCTCTTTTCCTCCCCAGCTAACCCACCACCAATGCTCCTAGCTACCCCACCACCAATGCTCCCAGCTACTCCCACCACCAATGCTCCCAGCTACCTCTACCACCACTGCCCCAGCCACCTCCCCACCACTCAATGTCCCAGCCACCCTACTCACCATCACTGCCCTAGCCACCTCTCTGCCTCTAGCTACCCTTCTGACTCCTACTAACACTGCCAAGGTTCCCAGCCACCTCTGCTCCCAGCTACCCTACCATCACTGCCCCAGCTACCTCTCTGCTCCCAGCTACCCTACTACCACTGCTCCCCAACCACCTCTTCTGCTCCCAGCTACCCTACCACTACTGCCCAACCACCTCTGCTCCCAGCTACCTCTCACCACCACTGCCCCAGCCACCCTCTCTGCCCCCAGCTACCCTACTACCACCACTGCCCCAGCTACCCTACTCACCACCGCCCCAGCTACCCTACCTCCCCACCACTGTCCCAGCCACCCTCTGCCCCAGCCACCTCAACACTACCATCGCTCCAGCCACCTTGCTCACCACTCCCCAGCCTTCCTACCTCACCACTGCTCCCAGCTACCTCTGTCCCAGCTTACCCTTCTGACCTACTCTCACTCACTGCCCCAGCTACCCTCTGCCTAGCCACCTCTACTCTCACTCACTGCTCCCAGCTACCTTCTGGCTCTGTGCCACCTCGTACTAACACCACTGCCTAGCCACTCCCACCACCACTGCCCCAGCTACCTCTGCCCCAGCTACCTCTACCAATGCCCCAGCCACCTCTCTGCCCCAGCCACCCTCTCTGCCTCAGCTACCCTACCACCAATGCCCTGTAGCTACCTCTGCCCTGCAGCCACCCTACTACCAATGCTCCCACCCACCCTCTTCTCCCAGCTACTGCCCCCAGCCACCCTACTACCTCTGCCCCAGCTACCTCTCTGCCCCAGCCACCCACTGCCCCAGCCACCTTCTGCCCAAGCCACCCTACCACCACTGCCCCAGCCACACTCTGCCCCAGCCACCCCACCATCGCTGTCACAGCCACCCTCTGCCTCAGCCACCCTACCACCACTGCCCCAGCCACTGCCCCAGCCACC